TCAAGCCCCTTCGTCGATTTTGTGGTTTAGTCAGCTACTATCGACTCGTCATATCGCGCTGCGCTCAGCTCATGCAGCCTCTGAGTGACCTACTCAAAGGGAATGTATATAAGTTCACTTCCCAAACACAACACAGAGGGCTTTCGCCGAGCCCAAGGATGCTATCTCCAACATAGTACTCCTCGCTCATTCCGAACCGACTGCACCCCTTTCTATTACGACTTTTGCCTCAGACGTCGCCGTAGTAGCCGTCCTCTAACGACACGTTGGTGTACAATGGCAACACCTTGGGTTCTTCTCCAAGCGCCTGCAGCCGGCGGAATCCCGCTACAGCACGTTTGGTAGAGAACTGCTCGCCATTCAACTAGACATTCGTCACTTCCGGCACACACTCGGAGGCCGCGCTTCCACGGTTTACACTGACCACAAGCCTCTCATCTTCGCCTTCAACTCTGCTTACGACCCATATTCACCACGGGAAACAAGGCACCTAGACTTTGTCAAGCAGTTCACTGCTGACATACGTCATGTCTCGGGGGTCGACAATCCCGTCGCCGTCGTTCTCTCACGCGTCAAGCTCACTCTCCAGTCTTTACCTACCGTCGACCTTGCCGCCATGGCATCGGTTCAGGCTCAAGGTGAAGATATACAATGCACGCTGCAGTCCACTCCGCTGCGTGTGCAACCTGTTTCTCTCCAAAGCACTGAAGGAACCATCTTCTGTGACACTTCCACAGACACACAATCTTTGAAGAATTGCACTCACTTCGACATCCCGGTATCCATGGGTCTTAGAAACCGGTCACCGAACGCTTCGTTTGGCCACGCGTAAACAAAGATGTTCGTACCTGGGCTTGTGCCTGCCTACAATGGAAACCCTCCAAAATACAGCATCACACCCGCAGTCCTTTTGGTTCATTTCCTTCTCCGGAACCTAGGTTCTCGCATTTACACTTAAATATGGTAGGTCACTTGCCTCCTTCACTCAGATTCGTATACATTCTTAAATGTGTCAACCGCTTCACCAGATGGCTAGAAGCCATTCCCGTAGCCGACTGTACAGCTGAGACTGTTATCCGGGCCTTCTTAGATCGGTAGATCTCGCACTACGGATGTCCATCCACCATTACAAATGATCGAGGAACACCCTTCGAATCTTCACGATTCGATACGTTCTGCAACTTCGTAGGCTGCCGCTGCATTCATACCACAACGTGTCATCTAGCAGCCAACGTTGTAGTTGTACGCTTCCATAGCTAGCTAAAAGTCTCGCTGTGCGCCTCATCCGACCCTAGCTGGAGCAAAAACCTTTCGCTCCTACTGTCACGCATTCACAGCAGCATCAAAGCTGACTTGCAAGGTGCACCAGCAGAGCTAGTTTAAAACACAACGCTAAGGTTTCCAGGAGAATTCGTTTCTCCTTCCGCACCGTGAGGTATGCTTCCGCGCAACTTTGCTTCCTCCCTAGCTCAATGCATGCATTCAATACACCCGACTCTGCCACGTGAGCAGACTACAGATATGCAAATGCACGGCGGACTTTCTAACTGCACTCACGTCTTCCTCCGCACCGACACAGTGCAGCGTCCACTCCAGCCCCTCTACACGGGCATTTTCAGAGTTCTGCGACGGACTCCAAAACATTTCACTTTAGACCAGAATGGCCACCGAACAACGGTGTCTATCGACCGCCTCAAAGTGGCTTTCTTTCACCATCCACTTTCAACCTATCCACATCCTATAACACAAGCACCAGCACCTGCGGTGACTTCCCGAGCACTGGATGCCCCGAAACCTACCGTTCCCCTTGACCTTCAACCAACCTGGCCTCAACACAAGGCAACCGACCGACGCGGTAGACAAGTCAAAGGTCGGGTCCGTTTTACAGATTTTGGGAACGTTTTCTATTTCTAGTAACATGCCTTTTTCGTCTCTTTTGGTAAACGTGCGTCTCATCCACAAACGTTTTGCGAAATCGGCAAAAAGACCTAAAACATTCTAAAACGTAAGAAGCGTATTTGCTTTTATCATGCATGTCACGTTCCCTCTCTAGCGTCAAGCCACTTTCCCCGACCCTTGTCCATCGCCTCTGAGTTCTACCTTCCAGCATCTCAACCAACGGAACTGCCATGGCAACGCTCGAGTGACCGGCCAACCGTCCCAACACAACCCTCGATTGACGTGCCAGCCGGCTCAAGACCCCTTCCTGACCCAAAGAACCATCAGTTGCCCCAGACCGCGGACGGCCACAACCGGATTGGGCCCCAAACACCTGGCTACGCGTTGCCGACGAGGGCACAAAGGTTTCTTCGAGGGACGAGGACCGTGGAGTGGAGTGTGATGGGGGGGGTGGCACCTCCCAAGTGCATCGTCAGATCCGCTGCGGAGGGAATATCCTGTCGACCTTTTTTCTGGACTAGCCAGTTACTTTTGCAGTCCGACCAGCCCGCATCGACATCCCGACGATGATGCACTCCGGTTAACACGATCAACAGTGATAATTAATAACAAAAACCTGGACCCAGTGAACTCCGCTACACAACTAATCTTGCCAGTCCGTGTTCAAACCAATGCTATTATTCACACCCATCCTCACCTCCCGTTTTCTCCCACTAACAGCTCCAACGAAGGCTTCCACCCTCCAGCCTTCTAGAGGAAGCCCTTATAGTTTACCTGAAAACAAACGCTTTCAGTATTTTGCAACATTGGATGTCACCGTTGTTTTAAACTTCAAAACCTCCACTTGTTTTACTGACGGCACTTCTGTTGACACAAAGCATTTTGGTGAGCACCTTGTTGCGCCGTTTCTCGCTCTGTTGATTCGCTTCCTATTTTTGTAGCGTGCATAATACACGCTGGGTTCAGTCGCCTGCAACTTCTATTCTGTCTCATATGTAACACGTCTCTTAAGTGTCATTGATTACCGAATAGTATCCCAGGCGCCATCTAACATGTGCCACGCATACAATGCTGTTTGTTCCGGCTGAAGAACACTAATTTACTACAATTCATGCTGCTAAGGTTTGGGCGTGAGATAAAATATTTATGGTGACTTTTTTGCTTTTGATACACATGTGTCCCAATAGTCACCAGTTTAGAAACCAGATAAGTGTACGGATGGAGAAATCTTCATGTTCAGGCACGTCACCTTAATATCTGTACATGGTGGCGCAGTAGAGTGAGCCAAGCATAACGTCACTTCTGAGCACCAAAGGTGAGGAGGCAGACCCAGTTGTTGTAGTAGCGCATCCCAAATTAAGCACACGTGATCATAGATGAGACTGCACCAGCATCCAAAATAACCATGGAGCCCTAATAAATTCAAGCAGTTTAGTGTCAGGTACTTGCTGTGTGTCACTTTTCTGTAAGCAGTTATCTGCATGCTTGGATTTCTGGGGTCAGACATGACAAAGCGAGTCCCCCACACATATATGCGGATACTCTGTGCTTAACATGCGTACTTGACCGCATTTTACTGGGGTATTTTCTAATTTGAATAAATGTAAGTCTAGTCACGGAAGTAATGTGATATACTGTGCTAAAAAGTTGAGCTGATAGATGTCCTTGAGGTTATTATCACTGCGCAGATACTTTGGGGCCATCTGCCTTGCGATACTGATTATGAAAAATAGGAAAAATCTCGGCCGTAGTATTGAGACTTTGTAACAAACTGAACTCGGGTTCTACGTCTAGGTTGCAAGTGAGCTATTCAACTTAGAACAAGATTTTCGATTCGATAGTCCTGAAGCTCTCAAAAAAGAATGAACTGGGCCAGGAAAGCTAATATCTTCGAGAAGTCCAGCTAGGTAGAACTACTTCTTACTCTAGTAGGAAGGGATTCTGTCTAATTTGAAATGGTTCACAGAAAACTCGTGTAGCATGAACAAATCAGGCGAGTCCCCTTATGCGGTGAGCGGCAAGCCACATTGGGATTTGGTTACCTGCTGGTTAAGAACACTGATATTTGTGCAGCATTTTTTGTGTGTCTTACTCAACCCATAAAGCTTGGTTTCGAACATTAATTTTGTCGGTTAATTAGTTGACCTGAGTATTTTGTCTGTATACGCATTGTAGGCTGAGCAAGTGAGCTACATTTGGTCATGCAATTATAATACCTCCACTAAAAGAGAAACCTGGAAATATCTTTCCGAAACCCGTGATTCATTAGAAATTTCATTAACGTGTGGTACATTTGAAAAGTATTTTTCCAATAAGTACTACCGTTGTAAGACTGGGTTGAGCCATCGGGTTGTGTTAATGATATCAGACAATAATTTAACAGGTGAGAACCGAGGCGCTTTCCGTGTTTCTGTTGGAAAGTTCTGTGCAGCGAACTTGACGGAGCGAGAAAATCACAGCCTTGCAATGATTTATATAGCGTACCTGCCGGCTGGTAAACATTTGATTCATGATAACGGTTTTTTCCCTAAACGGAATCCAGCACGGAAGACGGCATGAACTGTAATATCATAAAGGAATGGTAAGCTGTTACCCCTTGCCTTGGATCGTTCGCTTCGAGAGACTGGAGCTGAACAGTGTGATCATGAGACATCTCCCAAATTCTCTTCTTTGAAACTGATTGAAAACCTTCCATTTCTCAAGTAGGCAATGGAGGACAGTATGCTAGCGGCCCAGATCGTGTCATCACGTCTTAGATAACGACGGTACCAAAACAATAAGCAATAAGATAGAAACGTAGGTCATCCTGATGATGCAATATTTGATCGTCTCCTCTAATCGGTCAGTTGTTAAGTGGGAGATACCGAACTATTTGCGCACCATCTCCTCAGTCTCGTCATTCATTCTTGCATTGGCTAACATAATCAAATGCCAACACCTTGATACGCAGCATTGAGTCAGTCTGCTGATAATTCCTTGTTCATTGGCACATAATGAAGTAAGTCCACCCAGATATCAGATGCATACCTTACATTAAACGCAATGGAGGTGAGCTACTTTGTTTTAAAGACACTGAATAAGGGACCAATACAGGTACTTACAAAATCGTTAAAAAGCAAAAGCATCCGTTAAAACCTTTTACTGAGTATCTTGGCAATTTTTGGTTGTTGGTTTTGAATCGCTTCCGTTTCGAGCTGATGGTCGAGTGGATTCACTCTCTGCTCACGCTGGTCTCATTCCATAGTGACTATGATCAATCACCTGTTATGCTACTTCGGATGGCAAATGTGCACAAAAATGCACCCGATTCTCATCACCTTATCTGTCATAAGAAAGAAATGAAGTGCAACTTTCAATGCCATAGAATGCAGTTCCGTATAACCAGATGTTAACAGTAGGCTTTCCTACCAGCTGACAATTACCTAGTAGCTGCATATGATGTTGCCCCGCTCTTCCCGCACATGAACTTTGGCTATTTCCAACCGAAAGTTAGAAGATCTAAGTTATAACAGCTATAGATTAACATTCCGTTATTTCACATAGTAGAGTAATCAGTGGGAAGCTCCTGTTGTTGACCCTAACTGAAAGATCCAATCAGTGATATGCGTGCTCCATCTGATGCACTGAGGTGACGATTCATTAGTTATAACCTGATCGGTGAAATAATTCGCTAAATTGCGGTGAGTTTGCATGAGGTACAAACCCTGTCGTCCCAACTGGTTTAACCTGGAGGCTCTTTACTTTACATATGAGGCGCTGACGTCTTATTCCACCCAAAAGGTCATATTTATTAGTGTCTAAATTTGAAGTAGGAATGTAGTAAGCACGAGAAAAAATTGTATCAGCAACACGGAAATCCGCTGCCAGACAACCACCATCAGTCGCGTACGGGAAAGGGATACCGGGAGTTTGAATTACAAATGACACGTCTCATCCCTTATGCTGCTGGGGATGAATGCACCGAGTTGAATGAATGCATTAAGAGCGAATAATAGCTGGCTAGCCGAACAACCTCCTCATGGTGCCAGCTGGGTGGTTCGGGTTTCCCCTGTTCCAGCAAATATTCCAGCGGCAGTGTTCCAGGACATGGTGGGTTTCCGCCGGGGAAGCGTTCTCCCCATAAAAAGCCACAAATATCTGCTTAACAACACTATGACGGAGCGGTTGTGACTCGCCACTAACTAAACTCACCCCATTGCTTATCCGGACAACGGCACCAAGTCCACAAATATCAAGCATCCCTTTAGCACTGACGACACGATCAAAAGTGCGGGAAAACATTTACAAATACCATAAACACAGCTACACACGCCTACATGTCCACATACATACATTCACATATCAACATAAGTGACAACCTTATTATTCCACTGTACAATAACTGAGCACATTTGTATATTCTTAACATGATCATGCCTGTGCCGGCGTGCCTCGTGTAGTCGTGAATAATCATTTGATTTATTTTGTTTATTTATTTGTGATGTGTGATTTTCACAGTACTATTGTGTTATGGGTTGCGTTTCTTGTGCTTCTCTTGGCCGTGATAGATGCAGTCACAGACATTGCTCCAGGAATCTGTGCAGTTGTGCCTAATGTATGTGTAGACAGTTTGTAAGATTGTAATTTTTTATGCTTCGGTAAGCTGCAACAGCGTATTCGCTATCTGCCTCCTTGAAAAGTTGGAACAGGACAAACAGTAGGGAGACACCAATCCTTGTTATTTATCTGTGAACGAGATTGGGTTGTCGGTGGGTCTATATCTACGTGATTGATGTTAATTGTGACTTACCTGCATAGAGGTGTGTACAGGGTTATATAGAGGGTGAAGATAATCTGTGATTGATTCACTGGCGCAATTCACCGTTAGAAAATCGCTATTCCCCTCTAGCATAGCCATTCATTTATCGAACAGAATAGCTGAAGCATATGTGAGCGGTTAAGAAAAATAACCCACCTCATCAAACTTCTTCACATTGTACGGCCAGAATATTTTGGAGTCCATATTTAAGGATCACCTTTTGAGTGGAGACTTACTGCAATTGGAACATGTGAATCCGATTCTGGCATCTAGCTTACGGTCCCAAAACCAGAACTGACTTTCAGATTTGGCTTTATAAAAGATGGTTTATTACGGGTAAAAAAGCATCGCTTAACAACTTAGGGGGACCGTCGTTACGGTTGGAGAGGAAAAACGGGCATTGCCGAAACCCACTGAACTCTGGAAGATGCACTTCGTAAGTTCCCGCACTGGTTAGCCACAACTAGCCAAAATTACAGAAAACTGAGGTAACTTGTTTTAATCCACAATCACATAGCACCTTGACAGTCAGGACATCTAAAGAAATAGTTCTGTACTTGCTTTTGGTATGCTCGCATAAGGCAAAAGATCAGAGCACAGAGCAAAATATCCCAAGTTGGTTACAATCTAGAGATTTTGCATCACTGAAAGCGTGGGACTAAAGTAAGTGAATTAATTGCCGCAGCCTATTAATAACCATTGAGTTCTTACGGTTTAGTTTGACAGTCATGTTAATAGTGGACCAGTCCGCGAGTGGGACAGGCGAACTTCCAGGCAGTGGCGTCTGGCTGTGCAGATGACCAACGAAATCTGTCAACCTTCAACTTAAAACGCGACGTATTATCCGTAATGCATGCAGTCTCATATCCAAAGGCGAATAGGAGTGCCATCGCATCGGAAACGCCGGGTTTCTCTTTTGACAGCGGTCTCTGAACAGTTTACTTACATTGATTTTAGTATCGCAATCAGTCCGATGTGTCGGGTGTACCGGCTCAATCGAATAAGTTCCTATCACACTCACTGTGTAAAACAGAAATGCAAGTCCAATCACGTACCTTAATACCCTGCCCATTGAGGGCTGAACAACTTTGGATTTGCCACGTCCTGTCTCTTATCTTCAGCAGGTCAAGACGGTTGGAGATCCTGTCCGCGGACTCAGCAGTGGGCAGATCTTGCTTGTTGGCAAACACCATGACCGGGACACCGGATAGCTTTTCTTCGGTTAGCAACTCAGCAAGCTCCTGTAATGAAAACAAGTTTAAAAAACGACCATAACCACAAATACAAAACTGTTCTATTAAGAGATTCCTGTGGCATAATCTCCACTTCACATTTTAGTACTAAAGCCCAGGTGCCTGAATCGTAATTCCAACAAACTCTAACCCTATCATAGCAGAAGATAGAGTGCTTTTGAAACCGAGCTTCCATTGCATGGCACACTTTCACGCAGAAAGCTTAGGGCTCCAGGACAAAGCTGATGAGGTGGAGTTCCACAGGTGGTAAAAACAAAACACACTTACTCTATTTGCCTTAGATTTCTCCACCCTTCCTAGAAAACGAATCGCCTGTAAGTGAGTAGACCACCACAAAGTATATAAAGTATATGTTAGTGTTTTACTAAAAACCCAAACTCTGAACTTGCACTTTAAAGTGGCTTTCAAAATTAGTCAGTTGCTTCTTTGTTAAAATAAAGTTATTCTGCTAAGCACTGTTGCTACTGAAGTGACAGCACGTCAAAGGCAAGTCTTAGTATTGTCGGCTATGCTGAGGTTCGATTTTTCAGACGCATACAACTGTCCAAGCGAGTATGTACCGCATGCTGTAAACTTAAGACACAAATGGAAGATCAAGTTTGCTATTATATATATATATATATATATATATATATATATATTGGACAATACACAAGCTTCCACGGTGTAGGGCCGTTACAGTCCAAGAAATGTTTGGTCCAATCTCTCGCCTTTAGGGCGCGCAGTGTTTGCACACCGGATACCGTGAACGAAGAATTGCAGAGAGTCAGCAATGCCCTGAGAGATAATGGCTATCAGGACAAATTTATCTCAAAGCATCTGAAAGAACATAATCGCAAGCTACCAAAAGCATTCCTCCTAAAACAGAGCTGTTCATGCACTTGCCATTTAAGGGTGATTCGGATGCCGATACGCTAGCGCGACACTTGCAAGATGCTGTTGAGAAGACTTATTTTGCGGTGCGATTGGGAATCGTGTACAAGAGGCCCTTGCTTGCAGAAGCCCTGAAGGATGAGTTGCCCTCGTTGAGGAGTGCAATGCTGGTTTATCGGTACTCGTGTTCCTGTGGTGTACGATATATGGGCCGCAGTACGAGGCATCTAACTCAGAGGATTCGCCAGCACATTTCGGTCTGGTTCTACAGAGACTAGATGAGATCTTCAGACAGCTCTGTTATGTCACACCTCCGTTGTTTCAGCTTCACAGTCCCTGGGGATGGCTTGAAGGTAACACACTCACTACCTGAAAGTTTCACGCAAGGCTTCCGCAGGCAGCGCCTGTCCATTGCTGAGACTCTTTCGTCCACCATCTAAGGCCCGAACTGTATATGCAAAAGTGGCACATACGTCCGGTACTACTTCCTTGGCCAACGGACAATCTTACATAATCATTTGATTGCCATCCGAGATTCTATGTTTTACGTAATTTTGCTTTGCTTAACATCTACAGCGTAACCTTGAACTATCGATTGTCTGCTCGAACAACCCAGCAATCACGTTTTGATCCTATCTGACGCTAACAACACCCAAGCTCAACCATGGAAACCTTTGGGTCCCATGGGAGTTTATTCAAAAAGAATTCTTAACCGAAAACTCATCTTGTCTTGAGTTGATTTTATATATATATTTATATTTATATTTATATATGTATTCATACACTGGTTATGGAGACTGTGCTATCAGAACCATGTCAGAAAAGACGATAACGATAAAATGCAATGACAGTGAAAACTTTGTTGGGGTATACACGCTCCAGTTTGGGATTTTGTGCTTTGTGGATTTCCTGTGTTCGACAAGAGACTAACTAAGAGATGCAAAGGTAGAACAACACCTACGCCACTGATGACTCTAATGTGCCTTAAGATGCAACATTTCTAAGCATTGGGAGTCAGTGTCGTGTGGTTCCGGTACCGGAAGGCCGGCCGGTCCGACTGCAGCCAAGGTTGAGATTGACCTCTTCATGCTACACCCCATGTCATGGGTTCGCTGTGGTGGCAATTTTTCTATCCACCTTCTGGAAGCGAAGGAGGAGGGGAGGAGATAGACTGGCATACGTGGCCAAACCAATGTATGAGACGTCTGAGAAGAGTGTTTTGGAGGCATAGGCTGTTTGTGTTGTTTATATGAGGTTGCAGCCTCACGCGAGTGAGCTTAAGTAGAAAACGATTGTCAATATCTGACAATGGTGTCATATCTTCCGAGTGAACAGGTGAGGTCTTACAGCCGTACAATAAGATCGCACGGACGAGGCAATGCACAGCATGCCCTTGAGCTTGAGATTGACATCACGAAGACACCATAGCTGTCTCAGTCTGATGAATGCAAAATGTGTCTTCGCGATCTGTTGTGAGACTTCATCTCCAACACCCCTACCGGTCATGATGTAACTCGCAAGATAAGTGAAGTGGGATGGCTGGTTCCAGTACGTCACCAGAAGTGGCAAAAGCAGACACAGGCACCTGCCAATTTTGAAGTAGTGTATTTTTATTTAACCGTGGTGAAATACAAGTCACTCTTTGACGCAACCATGGTTACGCGGTTCAAAACGCTCTGGACGGTTTGTGGATCGTTCCCCAACAAAGTGATAGCATAGCATAGCAGCGACCCTGTCGCTAGGGAGAAGTTAAACTCCGCAGTTTCGAACCCTTTCCAATGTTCGTTGGACCACAACTTCGGCCTCATAATTGACAACAAATGGTGAACTAGGGCACCGTTGACGAACGACGATGGTGACATCAAAGGAAGAGGAAAGCCTGCCATATGTCTTGACTTTTTCCGACATGTAATTGGAAATTTCCTTCAGGATGCTTACAAACTTATGGGGCGCACCTTTCCTTAGTGGACAGTTACATTACACATGTTTGTGTGAAGTTAAGGAATCGTTGTGAAACGAGAAACGGAGACCAACAACGGAAACTCTGAGAATAGGCAGAACATGCAGTGTGCGAGTGTGCGGCGTGCGTGGGTACGCGGCATCTTTTAATCATCATACTACACGTTGACTAGAAATGCAATACACCACAACTATTGCGCCCAAATACAGTTCAAACAACTGGACATCGATAACGAAAGAACAAAACAAAATAACTAGCATTTACGTTATAAATGTTATGCAATGCTAGCCCGCAACGCCGCGCTCCACAAGAAATTGCGTGCTATTTGCAGTTGTGGGGAAGAAACAGTGGTACATGGGGACACCAATCAAATCCTTTGCCAGTAAGCCTCCGAGTCACGGTGAACAATGCTTTTCATAACCACTAATGGCCCGTTAATGAGCCTGTTTGAATTATCCACTGTGTGGACGCATTACGACACGCAGCCTCAATTAGGACCACGATTCACTTTGAGTTGAATGTCAGTCATTCCGGACCACATCTAAATCAGATGAATGTTAGTTAATGATCACCAGTAACACTGCACTTCACGACGGGCTTCGCACATGTCCGCGCAGCGCAATCACTTTATACAACCGGTGCTTCAAACTGACGCCTGTACCAAGTCATCAATCGTTGCGATAAGTGTGATCGACCACGACTCGTGGCTTAAAGTCATCAGCTGGAAACCATAGTTCCTTAGAATGCATCGCAATTCCGCTAACTCAACCCGGCGATTGTTAACAATACAGAACAGATTGTGGAGTGGAGTGTTGAGAGTGGGCCACATCCAGTGTTTACCTGCCTCAACTTAGTTCCCAGTGACATAATTTAGCCTAGGTTAACATCAGAATAAGCTGCAGACCACGTTTAGACAGTGTCACGGTCCATTCCTAAGCATACTTTAACAAGTGTTCAAGTTCGTTTTATGGTATTTTATTATATTCCAAGCATGAGATCCTGTTTTTACGATAAACAAAGTGGGTGAAAGACAATGAAACCCCCCAACACACACATCACCGAGATCAGTTATTTGACTTATCAAAAAGTCTATCCAACTGAAAGGATTCATCGTCACCGAGAGCCTCGCCAGTGTTGGGAGGCACCAAACGAAGCCAAGTTCAAAGTAAGCACTTATCTCTTGACCAAAATGCAAACGGCGAGTACTAGTTGTATTGGTATGTATGAAACCTGGCTAAACCATTGAGGCCTGCCGCATGAAGTAACAATGCCGAATGTTTTATATCCTCTTCCTGCTTTAAAAACATGGCGGAGAGAACGCGTATTCCTCATGCGGTGTTCCCAATAGATATGAACCAAAGTTTGAATAGTTTAATAGTACGATAGTTTATGCTGAGATAAAAAGCATAAGTTTACTCTACCCACAGGACGTATACGCAGAAGAAAAATAAAATCAAAATGCTCCAACATGGAATGGGAAGTATCAGTGGTTAAGCCATTGCAATTTATCAAACTGTTGTGTAGCGTTTCTCACTATGATAATATAAGACTTTCAAATGTCGTCGCGTCTATTGCCTTCACCACATATCGTTGTAATGCATTCCAGTAAGAAGAGATTCTAAGTGAATAAAATACTTTCTACAATTTAAACGGGAGTGTTGCGCCATTAGTTTCAGCTGGTTGTTTCGGCTTCGTTTGTAAAGGGCTAGGGTCATTAATGATGCTCATGAACGGTGGGTGAGAATAAGATCTCCTCGAAGCCATCAGTATTCTGAGGCGAACACACCCAGTACACTATGACGTAGTTCGCAATGTAGACCGCATAGTCCACTCGTTGCCTTTGTGGCTCTTCTTTGGGGTTGATCCAACAGACGAATGTCTCGTTTTAACCATAGAAACCAGGCTTGAATTGCATACTCAACGTGAGGACGAATACAGGAGTTAATCAGCATTGGTACTAGCCGCCGCTCCTAGGTGCTGAGAGCTCGCCTCAAAAGTCTCAAATTCACCTTCGCCACACTTGCTGCTTTCGAACATTGGAGAGAATTGCTAAGACTTTCTCGCACCATTATACCTAAGTCGCGTCCACTAGTCACGTGTTGCAGGACGTGTTGCCCCAAAGGTGTATTAAAGAAGCTGCTGCGCACAGTCAGCA